CCTCTGCTTCCTCGGTGTAGATTTAGGCCAACTGCTGCTTGTTCTTGTGGAGATGTGTGTGTGTTCTTATCTGAGCAGCCGCCCCCACCCCACCCCAGAGACCTCTCGAGCCCAATCCCAGGAGATGGCGGGAAGGACAGAAGAGAGCATGGCTGGTGCTCACCCCGTGACCTCAGGAAGGAGGAACTGGACCAGGGGCAGAGGTGGCCTGTGGGAGTCTCCATGGAAACCGTGCTCTGATGTGCCATTCTCTTGGTACTTGTGACTCAGTTTCTTCAGCTTGTCTGAGTACCCCGTGCTGCATTTTCCAGCATCCTGTGACTGTCCTGTGTAGGCCATAGGGCAGGACCAGGCCCCACCATGTTGGCCAGAGTGGAGAGTGCTCTGGAGTGAGGGGCCATGGCTCTCCATCATCCTGGCCCTCCATGGCATCCATCATCCTGGCCAGAGGCCGATCGTGGGGCCCTCAGGAAGGGAGACTATGGCAGGAGGGCCATGGTGTTGGGGGAAACAGAGGCACCTTGTTCAGGACCCCAAGAGTAGGGGTTCACAACCTGTGGGCTGTAGTGGCCATTAGACATTCCTCTCTGTGTTGTCATTCCCTCTCTTCAATGGTTTCAGTAAATGTTTCTCTTCAATAAATTTCATTGAATGTTTCAGCTGAGTCTTGCCTCTGCTATGGGCAATTGAGGGAAGGTTCACCTGGGGGTGTGGGTGTAGAGGGGAAACAGTTGCCTGGTCAACATGAGAGTATGTGTAGGATAAGGTCCATGAGACCTTTGAAATGTCTTAATTGCAAAAGGTGGCCAACATTTAAGAAACAGTGTCTTACAGACCTTGGCAAGGGAATGAAGCTAAGCAGAGCCAGATGGTGCCAGTGAATAGGATGCTGGTGGGAGTGTGTAGCGGCTGTCTGGATTCCCAGGGAACTTCCAGGAATAAGGGAGGGTGAGGAACAGCAGGCAGTCGCCAGAGACTCCAAGATCCCTCACTGCCTCGTTGGGGCTCAGGGCATCCAGACCTGGAGCATCAAAATCAGGCCAGCCTGTGTCAGTGTATCTGTAAGTGTGTGTAAAATGTAATTGTGTGAAAGTATGAGTGTATGAGTGTGTGAATATGTGCCTATATGTGTGTCAGTAAATGTGTGTGAATGTGTGATCAACTATGTAAGTCTGTGAATGTGTTAGTAAATGTATGTAAATGTGTGTGTTGAGTGTGAGCATGGGTGAATATGTGTTAGTTTGTATGTGGATGAGTGTGTGTGACTATGTGAGTATGTAGGTATGTGGATGTATGTTTATATACGTTAGTATCAGTGAAAATGTGTGTCATTGTGTGTATATATGTGAATGAGCAAAATAAGCATGTGTGAGTGAATGCATGTATGTATAATTGTGTACATGGGTAATGTGTCTTGTGTGTGTGTATGTGTTTGTGAGCATGTATAAGTTTGTATGTACATGACTATGTGTGAGTGACTAAGAGTATGTGGGTAGCCAAGTGTATATATGAATGTTAGTGTGTATAAGTGGATTTGTGTCAGTGTATATATGTGAGTGTGCATGAATATGTTCATGAGTGAAAGTGTCTGGTGTATGAGTGTGAGTGTGTGCATATGTATGAGTTTGTGTGAGGTAGTGTGTGCATGAGTATGAGTGAATGTGTGCTAATGGGGGAGTGTACATGTGTTAGTGTATGAGTGAACAAATGAGAAGATGTGTGAGTTTTGTATGAGTGCATGTGTCAGATAGTTGGTGGTTTTTTATTTCTTTGAGGAATCAAACAAGAAAGTTGGAAGAAGGTAGAACAAGGCACATGTCACTGCTTCACAAAACAAGAGCAAGACTTCTGTTGGTGCCAACTGATGAGTGGTACAGCTGGGCCTACTATGCAATCATCCATCTGCAGCCCCTGGTACATTACTGTTATCAAGGCGTCTACAGCTGTGTGTGTTACTAATATTGGTGTGTGATCAAAGCCTATGTGAACATCTATTTGTGTCTTTTTGTGGACGTTTGTTTTCCTTTCTCCTGAATAAATACCTAGCATTGAAATTACTATGCCACAGAGTAGGGCTATGTTTATAAGAAACTCCTCACAGATTTGCAAAGCTGTTATGACAATTTGTATTCCCATCAGTAGTATCTCTCTCTTGGGCTTCTCAAAAATTTGGGGTTGTCAGCTTTGAACTTTTAGCCATTCTGGTCAGTGACTCATAGTGGTATCTCATTGTGATACTAATTTGCATTTTTGGGATGACTAATGATATGGAGCACTTTTTGTGTGCTTCTTAGCTATCTTCCTCAGTGAACTGCCTATTCAAGTCTCTTGCCCAGTTTTCAAGTAGGATCCTTTCCCTTGTTTTATTAGTGGCTTGTGCAAATTGTCAAAACACTTTGGATATAAGCCCTTTATAAGATATATATGTTGGGACTATTTTCTACATGTTGTGCCTTGTCTATGCATATTCTTAGTGGTGTCTGTTCATAAGCAGATGGATTTAACTATGATGAGGTCCATTGCATTATTTATTTTCTTCTACAGTGACTAGTTTCTGGGTCCTGCCTAAGAGATCTTTGCTTGGCCTACATTTACAAATGTTTTACAGAAAACATCTGTTTTCCTCTAGAAGCTCTGTAGTTTTAGCTTTTGCATTTATGTCTTGGGATGTACCTAAACCAATTTTTGTATTTTAGGGGATGTGTGGAGTCAGGATGCATTTGAAACCTTTTTATTTTGACATGGATTTTATTTGGAGTGTTGGTCAAAAATCAATTAACTGTGTACCTGTGGGTCTATTACAGTTTTCTATATTCCCTCTTCTGTATTTTTCAGTTATAGAGTTTCCATTTGTTTCTTCATTATAGTTATCATTTCCCTGCTGAGACTTTTACTCATTGGTTCCTTCATTATATTCATGCTTCTCTTTCAATTCTGTAGCATATTTGTTTCCAATTGCTGTATTTAAGTCTTTATGTGTTAACCCCATCATCCTTGCTATTTCTGAACCTACTGGTACATTTCCCCCTTGGTTATGGGTCATGTTTTCTTCCTTCACATATCTAGAAATTTTGCATAGAAGTCTGCCATTTGGTTGTTAGGTTGTTAAGTGTCTTGGTTTTGTT